GGCCCGAGGGGGTGGGAGAGGGTCCGGCCCACGCTGCGCCTGGGCTGGGACTGGTCCCGCCGGCGCCGGGTAGCAGGAAGCTCTCCACACACTCACAGGACCTGGGCTAGGACTGGGTCTACGCGGCTTTGTTTTTAAGAGGTAAATAATTAGCTAGCATGCGTAAACCTGTACGGTTTCTCCTCTGACCCCACTTTGAGTAAAAAAGTCAGAAGCTGCAGGGACCCAAGGACGCTAGAGCCGCCCCGCCCCGCCCACGCGGCGGGAAGTTTTCATAAGTACTGGTAATCTCATTCTTAAAGTAGGTGTAGATAGATACTTTTTTTTGATATAGTTATTTTTTATACCTTACATATAGAAATATTCTTTTGAATGCACTCTACATTTAGCAATGAGCTTTTTAAAAAGTATGATTGGGATGTGCGGATGTAATTACCTTGTGCACGATAGTGGGTAAACATGTTTTTATCAGTTATGTTGTGAAAAGAAGCAGAAATAGGGGATAGCAATTTAAAAATGACATGAGCTAAAAGGAGTGATTACTTTTGTGTGTTTTATTTTAAAGACAGGTGATTCCAAAGCAAGCTTATTTGTTCAAATAAGTCATACTCCTTATAAAGCTATGCATACAGATATAGAACTCCTACCCTGATGTTAAAATTGATGTGTTTATGGGGCTGGGGAGATGGCTCAGTGGAATAAGCGCTTCCGTGGCAAGTGCAAGGGCCTGAGTTCAATCCCCGGTTTAAAAAAAAAAAAAAAAAAAAAACCCCCGGTAAAAAAAAAAAAAAAAAAAAAAAAAAAAATGATGTGTTTAACCCAAGCTCTTGCTTTAGAATAATAAGACCACTTACTTAATTTTATTTTCTGATGTGGTAATTTGGGTTCTGTTCCAAAATAGAAAACACATAGATCATTGAGTCCTAAGAATGCCGTACTAAAAACTCTGGCCAGGGCTGGGGAGATAGCTCAGTAGAATAAGCACTTGCCTGGCAAGCACAAGATCCTGAGTTTAATCCCCGGCACCGCAAACCACCCCACAACCCCAACAAACCAACCAACCAAAACTCTGGTTAAATTATGTTGGCCAAAAATATTTTCAAGTCAGATGTTATAATCAGTTACCTGCCACCATAAATTACAAATAATCACCTTTCAAAGTAACTATAGAAGAGTAAGATGAAAGAAATGTCTACTCTTATACGCCAGAGGAGGATGAACAATGAAATGAGCTGTTTGTGACCAGCTATCCATACCATGCTCAATTACTTAGCTTTAGAATGCTTTGTAGGACAATTACTGAGCTGTGTGATTTATTTAATTTCTGCACATTTTAGAGGTAGGCCAGATAACGGAATATACTTGTACAGCTAATTGGTTTTTTTCCCCCACCGTTTTCCCCTTTGTCTGACATGTCTTTCCATCATTTCTTTTCTCCAACAGGCTGTGTAGTTCCAGGGGCCGGTGCAGTTGAAGTGGCAATAGCTGATGCTCTTGTTAATTTCAAGCCCAGTGTAAAAGGAAGAGCTCGCCTTGGAGTCCAGGCTTTTGCTGATGCCTTACTCATTATTCCCAAGGTACAGCCACCCCCACAGCCACCTAACAACTGCTTAGGCTTGGAGGCGCTTGGTTACAAATAGTCTGTATAATCTAACAGCAGAATAGAAAGACAGGTGTCAGGGCCGGGGAGGAGATGGCTCAGTGGAATAAGCGCTTCCCTGGCAAGCGCAAGGGCCTGAGTTCAATCCCCGGTTCTGAAAAAAAAAAAAATAAAAAATAAAAAAAAATAAAAAATTAGAAAGCAAGCAAGCAAGCATTTGTGATGAACTGATTGTAGTGAAAAATTAGAACTTAAGATTTAACTAGATTTTAGGGTAAATCTTTATTTTGTTTGTGGTGCCCAAAATATAATTACTTTAAATTATGGAAAATAAAGATTTTCAGACTGTTTTGCATCTCACTCACTGCTAGCTTGCCTTTGTTATTGTCATCATAATTTATAGAGAAGATGAAAAGCTAGAGGGTTTTTGTTTGTTAACCACTAGACAGAGAGCTGTTTCATTTTCTTTGCCTCAACCTGATTGTGCACCACTTGGAAATACATAACACTGTTTCCAATATGCTGCTAACATGAACTGACACATTTCAAAGCTAGCAAAAAATTAAAATAATGGTTATTAAAGTTGTTCAAAATTTATGAGTTTTTTGTGCATTAGATATCTATTTTGTTCCTTATCCAAGGCAGCAGTTTTAAAAAGTGATGAGTTGTCAATCCAAATTGGTAACCCTGAAGTACATTATGGTACCTCTTCTCCATTATTTATTGGTTCAAGATGACTTGGAAATGAGCGTGGCCTGAGTACCGGTATCTCTATCCCAGCCGCCACAGGCCGTGGCTTTCATCCTGGAAATGAGGGTGCAAAGGTGCTGGAAGTATGCTGGGCTTGTTTAGCAAGTGTCCAGGGAAAACCAGAAGACATGTGGCTAGAGGGACCAGAGAACACAAGAGTACTGTGCTACTTCCTTCAACATTTAAAGTTATCTTATGAAGCAGGAAATTAATGTAGTAGGAGTGGAGGAACTCTACTTAGAATGTAGTGTGGTATTCAAGCACCTACAGTATTTAAATGACAATGGAATGCCATTGTCTGACAAAACTAACCAAAAAAGTGGAATAGAATTGAATGACCCTTTTGTATCTGTATACTCAAAATAGGATAGAAATACAACTCCATTCTCTTAGTTCAATGAATAGAGAGGTTTGTTATAATAGTGTTTGAGACAGGATATCAAGTCTGCATCTTGTACAATGAAACAATATGCAATGCATTAATTATTGAAAATGTGTCAGGAATTGGTTGTGAAACTGTCTCATTGATATTTGTTTCTTAGTAAAATTATTAAAAAAAAGAATGTAGTGTGATAATGGCTAATGCTTAAGTAAATATAAAAATGACTAGATAGATGAACTACTACCTTGATGTAGATTAAGTATGGTGTTCTTTTTTTTTTTTTTTAAGTAGAAACAGTGTTACTTTATTAAAATACTGAGTTTATTTCACATGTATATTTGTCTCCCTACCATCTCCATGTCTGACCACCACCACTACTACTATGTCTTATCATAACATTCCATACATACTTAAAACCAAGTAAAGGGTGGAGTTCCATCTTTAAAAACTAAACAGGCATTTCAGACAACACATTCTTGGCAATGGGACCTGGACAACATTTATCAAACACGGTAGGGAAAGTTCTCACTTTGCATTATAAAAAGGATAGCCAGATAGCAACTGTTACAGAAATGAAAGACGACGGAAAACTTTAACAAACTGTTTAAACTGTTTTCTTAAAGAGACTTCCTCCACTGCCAGAGATCTTGAATAGCCTCCTGGTCAGTCATCCGGAAACAATTCTTCACATAATTGATGAATTTGGCTTCCACTTTGGGAAGAGAACCACCTTTTTCTATACTTGCTTGCATTTTTGCTTTAATGTCTTCTACAGAACTAGGTCCTTTCGGTGTTTTAGGACTCTTTTCCTGTTTCTTAAAGGATTCCTGCCCTTTTGATCTTGGCGTTGATGGTTTTGAGTCTTTTCCATTCTGGTTTGATTTTTGTGCATTTTTGGCTGGAGTATCTCGTATTGATTTCTTCACTGGAGCTTTCTCCTCAGTTTCTTCATCATCAAAATCATCATCATCATCATCCTCATCATCCTCATCCTCGTCCTCATCGTCCTCGTCGTCTTCATCAGCAGTGAGTTTTACTTTTTTCTGTGGAACCTTGCTGCCACCTCCAGGGGCAGATCGCTTTCCAGATATACTTAGGAGTTTTACATCTTCTTCCTCTTCCTCTTCCGACTCTGCATCTTCTTCCACAGCTACTAAATGCTGTCCACTAATATGCACAGGCCCTGAACCACACTTCAACCTTAAGACAACAGGTGGTGTAATTTCAAAGCCCCCAAGGGAAACCGTCGGCTGTACAGACATTTTCAAAGTTGCCAGTGTTACTTTAATTGGACTGCCTTCATAATTCATAGCCTCTGCTTCAACAATGTGCAGTTCATCCTTTGCACCAGCCCCTAAACTGACCGTTCTTAATGACAACTGGTGCTCATTTTCATCGTTATCCACCTTAAAGTGGTAATCTTTGTTGGCCTTTAGTTCACAACCGAAGAGATAATTCTGGGGCCTCAGGGGGCTCATGTCCATATCCATCGAATCTTCCATGGAGTGGTGGCGCGCACTTAGGTGGGAGAGAACGCGGACGGAAGTGAATGACTACTGCTCCTCAGAACAGACATGCAGGACGGAATCACGCCAGGGCAAGTATGGTGTTCTTAAAAAGAGATGATTACCAAATTACAGATGTGTTTTCACAAGACTAATAAAGGTATTGAGAACTTATTACATATATATATATGTATATGTATATATATATATGTATATATGACTAGTAATACTCTTTATGTTTGCTATTCAGATGTACATGTAAAATTATTTCATGCATGTATTTATTATTTTTGTTCTTAAAGGTTCTTGCTCAGAATTCTGGTTTTGACCTGCAGGAAACACTAGTAAAAGTTCAGACTGAGTATTCAGAATCAAAGCAACTTGTTGGTATAGATTTGAATACAGGTAAGAAATTGATTAGGGGCTGGGGAGATAGCTCAGTAAAATGAACACTTGCCTGGCAAGTGCAAGGACTTGAGTTCAATCCCTGGTTTCACCAAAAAAAAAAAAAAAAAAGAAATTGAAGAAAAATTAGCTGTGTGATAAGGAAAGGAGTTATCCTTCAGTCATCCAGATCTTATAGTAAAGTGGTAGAGATTTGAGTGACTTTATTAAAATTTGGGTGATTCTAGTTTACTTTTGAACCTCTTAAAATATTCATGTAAGAAAGGTATTGGGGGGCCGGGGAGATAGCTCAGTAGAATAAGTGCTTGCCTGGCAAGTGCAAGGGCCTGAGTTCAATCCCTCTTTCACAAAAAAAAAAAAAAAAGGTATTGAGAATTTATTGCATACACACTTTTGGGACTTATATAGGACAAAATAAAACACTTGTCTTGTGAGCTTCTGTTATGGTGGAGGACAGTAGGTGCTAAATAATAACCTCAATAAGTGTCTCTAGCATATGAGGAAGCAGTAGATTTGATCAAAAATAAAACAATACGAGGATGATCATGAAGGCTTAGTGAAAGGGGATGGGTTGAGTGGTTTGAATTTAAAGAGATTCAACAGAGTAGTCTCACTGAGAAGATATCTACTGAAAATTAAAAGGAAATAAGGATATTAACCATATGAGGAACTGGGATTAAGTGTTTTGGGGAGAGAGAACAGCCAGGGGAACAGCCAGTATCTGATATTTCTGAGAAGGAAGGGGTGACAGAGCTGACAGGAAGATCATGCAGGGGCATGTGGGCTAGTGTAAGGGCTCTGGGTTCTACTGTAGTGAAGCAGAGAGCATTGATGACTTGGACACAAGTAGTTTTAGTAATATACTAAATATTGTTAGATTATATCAGTAAACTGATAGAGTACATCAAGGTTATAGTATTCAACTGGTTTGTTTTTACTTTACAGGGGAACCAATAGTAGCAGCAGAGGCAGGAATTTGGGATAATTATTGTGTGAAAAAACAACTTCTTCACTCTTGGTAAGTTGGAAGTAATGTAGAAAGAAAGATATTTAGGAATATAATTGATACATTATGTATTTTCTATTGTTTTTGTCATTCTGCAGTGAAAAACAGCCTAGAGTATGAAAAGCTGTAGTATCCAGTTATTTTTTTTTTTTTTTCATTTGATAGCATAGTTCCAATAATGTGAATTGTGGTTGGGGTAACATTTATATGCAATTGTTCTTACACAAAATATTACCCCAGACTACTTGTGTCACACAAAAAGAAGTGGTCTCAATTCCGTGTGTGGGGTAGCATGTTCTCTAGGTGCTGAAAAGGTG